TTCTTTGGTAAAAAAATAACACAAATCAATGCATATTATTTAGTCTGTGTGAAAGCTAGAGAGTCTACAAGCTATGGTACCAATCACTGAAACTTGAGCACACCTTATGTACAGATGGCCCATCTCATGTCTGGAGGCCCTAACAAGCCAGGACAATACAAATGCCCCCTAAATTACCCCTTTTTGGAATGTAGACATTCCAAAGTATTTAGTAAGAGGCATGGTGAGTTTTTTTGAAGTTGTAATTTTTTTCCGCAAAACACACACAAATTGCCATATTAACAAGCTATTTCTCACACACAACACAGACAGACTTGCAACTACACCCCAAAATACTTTCCACTGCTCCTCCTGAGTATGGCAATACCACATGTGTAAGACTTTCCCACAGCCTGACCACATAGAGAGGCCCAACATGCAAGGAGCGCTATCTAGGGACATAAATTACACATTTAACATCTTGACTACCTATTACACTTTCTAAGGACAAGTGAATTACACACAAAATGACCTCATTTTGAGAAGCAAACACCCCAACATATATTCTATGAGGCATATTGAGTCTTTTTAACATGTCATTTTTTTTCCACAAGTTTTCAGAATATGTGAAAAGAAAATGAAATGTTTTTTTTTTTTTTTTTTTTTTTTTACACAATGCACCGATGGGTGCTGATGAGGGTGCAGATGAGGCTGCACTTGTGGGTGCGCTGATGGGGGTGCACTGTTTTATGCTGATGTGAAGTGATGATGCTGCACTAATGGGCACTGATGAGGTTGCACGGATGTACTGAGGCTGCACTGATAAACTGCCACTGACGTGCACTGATGGGTGCTAATGAGGATCCACTGATAGGGTGGTACTGATGTGTACGAATAAGTGGCACTGATGTACACGGATAAGCTGCAGTAATTAGGTAGCACTGATGGTAACTGAATAGCACTGATGTGCACCGATAAGTTGCAGTGATGAGGCAGCACTGATAAGCTGCAATGATGAAGCAGCACTGATAAGCCCTCATGGGCACCGATGAGCCCTCATGGGCACTCACAGGCACCAATGAGCACAGACAGGCACCGATGAGCACTGGTATGCACTCACTGGCGGGCACTGATGAGCACAGATAGATAGGGTACTGGCGGGTACTGATGAGCACACTCAGTTTAGGAACAGATCTCTCTCTCCTTTCCTCACACTCGGTATTGGTGTGAGGCAAGGAGAGAGAAAACCCAGCCAAGACCCTGTTGTGTATACATTTGTGATTGCTCTGTCCAATGACGAGCGATCACAAACGTAGACAGCAGCTGTAATTGGCCGTTCACCCCCCTCTTCGTGATGTGCTGTGTCCGAGGGAAACAGCCAACACTTACAGTTCCCGATGCGAGCTGCCAGGGGCCCGCGGTAATCGCGATCACAGGGGGACATCATATGAAGCCCTCCCAGAACTGGCTGGCCGCTGTGAAGCCGTCATTTGGCTATCTGCAGTCGGCAAGTGGTTAAACATGTCCAGTAAAAAAAAAAAATTTAGAAAAAAAAAAAAAAAAAAAAAAAAACGAAATTTCATCATAAATTTAGGCCAAAATGTATTCTGCTAGGTGTCTTTGCTAAAAAAAAAAAAAAAAAAAAAAAAAAAAAAAAATCCAAATGTGTAAATCGGTTTACATGAATGGTATAGCATTTACAAAATGGAGGTATATATACACTGGGATTTTTTTTTTTTTTTTTTTAATTTTTACTAGTAATAGTGGCGATTAGCGACTTATAGCAGGACTGCAGAGAACATTCTGACACTGGGGGGAACTGACTTGGTGTCACAGACATCCCCAGTGACACCAATACAGTGATCAGTGCTAAAAAAAAAAATAAAATAAAAAAAAAAAAAAATAAATAAATACACAACACTGACACCGTACTAATGGCACTGGGCAGGAAGGGGTTAACATGAGGGGCAATCAAAAGGTTAACTGTGTGCTGGGAGTGTTTTACATTAGGGGGCCATGTCAGTGTGCTACGCTGTAATGACACTGCTTTGGATGGCTGTGCACAGCCATCCAAAGCAGTGTGCCCAAGCTGACGGGGGAGAACTGTTAGTAAAGAAAACAGTCATCCTCCCCGTCGGAGATCTTCGGAAATCACCAGGTGCCGGCGAGTAATCACCGGCCGGGACCCGATGACTGACAGCCTCGGCGCAGTAGGGCGCGCACGCGGCTCGCCACCTACCTAAAAATGCAAAATCAAGAATATATTAGTGGTGCACCGAAATGAAAATTCTGGTGCCGAAATCGAAAATTCAGGATGCAATTGGCCAAAAACCGAAACAGGCAGTTTTTAAAAATATATATTTTTTGTAAAAAAAATACACGGAGTTAAAAGAAAAAAAAAAAAATATATACCCCAATTTTTTTTGTAAAATATAAAATGAGGATGTTACGGCGATTAAAATTGATACACATGTCACACAAATTTACACTGTTATACAAGCTGTACACTCACTACTTTACATTGTAGCAAAGTGTCATTTCTTCAGTGTTGTCACATGAAAAGATATAATAAAATATTTACAAAAATGTGAGGGGTGGACTCACTTCTGTATGTACATGTGTCACATTTCAAAAAAAAAAAAAAAAAAAAAAAAAGAAGCACACACCACAATTTACTTCATTTGTAAATAACTTTACATTACTTTGTACCAAAATCATAATTTTAGAATCACTTTAAACAGGACAAAACGACAGAAGAAAATGCATGCTTTTGTATACGCAGTAACATTATTAGTTTTACTAACACTGCTCAAAAAAAGAGAAAGTGAGTTGTGTTTAGTTTCGTTATGTTTAATTGTCTAAGGATTGCGATAAAAATCATTGTTGCAAGACAATACTCATGAAAAGAAAGCCTTGTTTGTACTTAAACAATATGTATACGTAGTTATCTTAAAGTGGTTGTAAAAGCTCAAAGTTTTTTACCTTTATGCATTCTATGCAAGAAGGTAAAAAAACCTGTGTGCAGCAGTGCACCCGAGAAGAGGAGAATCCGGGTTGCTCTGTGCAAAACCACTGCAGAGTGATGACTCCACATATGGAGCAGATGGTGTCCCCATAGCAAGCTGCTTTCTGTGGGGGCACCCGACAGGAGTGAGGGGCCAGGAGAGCTTGCGGGGGGGACCCGAGGAGAGGAGAATCCAGGCTGCTCTGTGCAAAACCACTTCACACAGGTAGGCAAGAATAGCATGTCTTATTTTTCAAAAAAAAAAAATGGACCTTTAGAATCACTTTAAGTAATGACAAACTTATTGCAAAAATAAACGGTTCCATATCAAAAATTTATAAAATTGCTCTGGTCCACTAGGGGTGAACAGGTGTGAGAGGCGAAGTGGTTAAAGCCTGTAGACACTTAGAGAGCCCTCCAACTCTTTAATAAGAATTGGCACCACACTTCTATATCGTACACATTTCAGCATTTTCAGTATGGCACAAACCTGCTAGATCACAGACCGTTCTAAACAGCTCAGATTTAGAGGAAGGTACATGGACTTACTGGGAGTTCACTCCTTTTAGAGTGTACGTTGAAATAACATTGTCAAACCTCAATGGAATGATAGCTGGGCGATAGCTACACAAACCACTAGTGCACACAAAGTATTAGTCGTATAATTATTCATACTATTACTCAGTATTATTATTCTGGGAAAAAAAAAAAAAAAAAAAGGATCTAGCTCAGAATTTAGAAACACCATATAAGACAAGATCACAAAGTACAATCAGAGCATGTATCATTAGACAGCTGTACAGTAGCAGAGGTTTGTTAAATGGCCTGAATGTCTACATTCAGGGTAAAGTTCAGCTAATAAGAGCATGGTGTAAAGTTCAGGCCATCACATTTAAAGAGGTTTCCAAAAATTAAGTCAGCAGCTAGAAAAATGGTGGCTTGGGGATGGGGCCAAACTTAAAAGAGTGGGTACCTGAGTACCTGCACCTCCCACCCAAATAAGGCAGAAGAGGGGAGGAGGAAGAAAAGCAGAACTTCCTCTTTTGGGGAGTGAACATGAACAGCACCTTACAAGCTCCTGCATATAGATGTAAAAGTGTACCTGTTAGCCAAAAACAGTTTTTTTTCTGATCAAAATGATATATATAAGAATGTAATCTATCAATCACCCAGTAACATTCATGTAGATCAGGGGTCAGCAACCTATTGATTGCCATCTACCGGTCAACCGCAGGCAGGTGACTGATAAATCGCAGGGTTAAGCTCAGGTGGCTTCGGACACTAGTCCAAAGCTGCCTGAGTCATCTTTCCAGGAAGCTGTTGGCTTTGACAGAAACAGCCTGAGCTCATTCCCCACCCTGTTGACCCTCCTTTAGCAAGGCAGGGACATCAGTGTTTCTCCCCCTCTTGCAGAGAGGTGCAGGAAAGCCACATATCTAAAGGTACCGTGATATCTCTGGCGGCCCTCCTCTCCAATCCATGTATGTGACATCATATGGGATGGATGGTGGAGGAGAGCCAGCAGAGATCAGAGCATAAGATGATTGTGTCTGCTGACCTCCATCTTACAGACCGCAGGACGCCGCCCTCCATCTTACAGACCGCAGGACGCCGCCCTCCATCTTACAGACCGCAGGACGCCGCCCTCCATCTTACAGACCGCAGGACGCCGCCCTCCATCTTACAGACCGCAGGACGCCGCCCTCCATTTAATTGGGGGCTCAATAGTTAATTCCTTTTTTTCTTTTTTAAAAAAAGGGAGGGGGACAGGGGCACCACACCCTGGTTATCTTTGATCTCTTCCAGATTGTCCAGGTAGATCTTCACCTCTCAAAGGTTGTCTACCCCTGATGTAAAGTGACATTCTTGTGGCCATTATATATTTATACCAACCAGTCCATCTTCTCACCCAAATAATGTGCCTTCCAATACTACTACCAGCTATGACCTATGGAATTTGCAATAAACAGCTCTTATTAATCTCAGTAATCCATCAGAATGAAATCCCCTGCCATACCTCTGTATTGTATGTCTCACTGTCAGTGGTTACTTCACGTTGGACGACCTTCAGAGAGGCAGAGCTTGGGAAGTACGCTGTGGTTTTGGGAGAGTGAAATGCCGTAATCAGGTAACTTAGCGGTACTGTAACCTGCAACAAAGAAACATATTCATTGTACAATTGTTTTTTTAAGCAGATCTTAATAACAGCATTTAAAGCTGACAATACACTATATAATGTAGTTGTGAAATCTCCTTTACATCTACCAATAACTAGGAGAGGATGGTTTAGGTTTGTCCTCATATTACACAGTTTTGATCAATTGAAAAATGAGATTTTACAATCAGATACCTCCCTGAGAGATGGAGAGGAAAAAAAGGAGCACAGGAAACAAAAACATAGCTCATTATATTTCAACTAAAAATACCATGAAAGCAACATTTTTTGTGAATAATATTCAATGTTCTGAATTACATTTACCAAACGTAAAATATACATCAAAGCACATATCACATCAATGTATATTACATGAACATTTTGTCCTTATTCCTTAAAAGGGGAATGTTTTTCCACCAAGATGATGACCAGTAAGTCAATAAATATAGAGAAAGTCTAAGACTGAAGCATCACACAGGAAGTTGACTGTCCAGACACAAATCTATTCTCAGACAGAAAAAAGGTTACAGTATATTACAGACCCAACGCATTTCAGGCCCACAACATCCCCCTTGCCCATCCTTCAGGGCTTGAAAAAAAATTATTGGTATATACTGGGCTGCTAGTTTTTTTTTACCTTAAGGCAGAATTCCAAAACTGTAGCTGCTAACTTTTAAAATACAGACACTTACCTGTCCCTCGGTCCAGCAGTGTCCTCACCACAGCTGGTTTCACTGGCCGTCTTCTCTCCCCGGCATCTTCAGTGTGGGCGCCCACTGAATTCACGAGAAGCGCTGTGCTTTGTGAATGGCCCCATAGTCTGAGAGCTGTCATGTGTCCCAGAAGGGGGGGGGGGGGCGAGGGACGACGACTTAAGCTTCCAATCACCCTAGGCGATCGCAGTGGAAGTGAGAGTGGGTACCTGTCAAATTTGGGTACCAGCTCTCCAAAGAAAGGTGCCAATCCTTAAAGGAGCAGGGGACAAAGGCTTAAAACAGCAAAAGTTTCTCTTTTGGGTGGAGCTCAACTTTAATGTATTCTCTGCATCCCTGCCAAATCAATGTATAACCTGGAACTAAACCCTGCTGTAAAAAGTAAGAGACATGTTAAATAAAAAATTTTTTTTTTTTTTTAATATAATATATCTCCATACTCTAAGCATTTTTCTCTAAAAAATATACACTGCACAGTCCATGCTTTGCACAATGTACATCCTAGCTCACTTTCAGCATGCAAAGAATACAGACGGGTGGTAAGGATGATGTACCTGCAGTGCACATCTTCAGTGCCTGTCCAATAGCTGAAGAGGATTCCCCCAAAGAAATGGCAGGGGAGATGGCGGTGGATGGCAACTGGACCTGTCATCGTTGGAGAAGTTTGCTTATGAGTGCCAGTATGCCATGCCTTTGTTGAACTGACTCCCACACAGCTGAATTTAATTCCACTTTAGCAAAATGATTGTGTATACAAAGTGACACAGGTGTACTTAAAATTAATGACCTCTACACTTTAAGCCCTGGTTCACATATATGCAGAGCGTGTTTCGCGCAGGCACGAGAGCCCATTCATTTGACTGGACTCCCGTGCCCCATGACACGCACAGACGTAGTCCCTGCACTTCTTCTGAAAACGCAGCCTGCATGGGAACCTCGGTTCCCAGTACGATTGCATTTTCCAGTGTGGGCGGCGTGCCATTAGAACTAATGGTATCTGCACGTGGGTCCGCATTCCTCTGTGTGTCTGTGTGGGTGGTGCGGCTGCACGGATTTTCGTACAGATCCGCAGCGGCACCACCCGCATATATGTGAACCTAGCCTAAGGCCATATTGCAGGCCAAGACAAGCAGGCCAGTAATTGAATGGGCTGCCATGCCTCAGAAAAACTCAAGGAAAAGGTTCCTGCACCTTTCCAGAAATCGCAGCCCATACTGGGACTACAGTGCGGTTCCCAGCATGACTGCGATTTCCAGACATGTGACATGCCATTAAGAGTAATGGCACCCGCAGTGACTTACACCCACACTAGTGTAAACAGAGTCTTAGTAAAAATAATACCTCATCTGCACTTTATGTATAAATCATACTATGCAGAAAGACATTTCACATTCACAAATGGCCACATAATAATTGACATCCGAAAAATCTATGGAAATATCTACTCTATCTACTATACAAGACTTCTGAAAATAAAACAGCTTGTGAATTATTTTGCCACGAAAGTCAGCTGGAAGTTCTGAACGGTGTCAGTTACACAAGAGTCCGTGACAGAGAGGAGATATACAGTACAAGTAATACGGGAGTGAATGAGGTCACCACGACACTATCACCTGATCAGCGGGGACAGAATTCTAGCTGGGCTGTGTACAAGGACTAGATGACGGCTCCGATTCCTACAGGCAAAGCAGTCTATTATAATCCATGTTTACTGCCAATTTCAATGTAACCGGCGACCCTGAGATCTGATTTCTGCAATAAAAGGGACATTTAACCCCTTCATGACAGGAGGTAAAATGAATCCTAATACCTGAAAACACAGATCTGCAACTTTGATGTGTTAGTGAAAAATTGTACATATCATCACAACTACTAAGGCTGGCCATACATTACACAATTTACATTAGAAAATAGCTTGAGATTTACCAAAAACCATATAATATGAAGTCAAACCTAAACAACACTTTCAGTTGTATCTAATTAGGCAGGCCCTTGCACTACATAGTTGAAGGTAAATTTAAAGGAAATTGGGAAGAAATTGAACAGAAAATTGTATAGTGTATGGCCAGCCTAAGGCTATACCATTTTCTTACAAATTTCTGTCTAATTTCCTTTAGATTTACCTTCAACTATGTAGTGCAAGGGCCTGCCTAATTAGATACAACTGAAAGTGTTTGGGTTTGATCGCCTATTATATGGTTTTTGGTAAATCTAAACCAAAAGTCTCAAGAAAATTGTATAATGTATGGCCAGCCTAAGGCTGCATTCACACTTGAGCGTTTTGTAGTTTGAAGCTCGAATCAGGTGTGAACAGGCACCATAGAGAACAATTGATTTTTTAAGTTTTCGCTTTTTGGGAGCTACAAAACGCTTAAGTTTGAATGCAGCCTCAGTGTATCCAGGTGAATTATACGTTTTTTTTTTTTTTTTTGTTTTTTTAACACAAATTGGTCTTTTATTTGGTGGCAAATGAGATCTTTTTTTTTTCTCTTACACTTTTCCAATTTTCCCTTCTAGCAAGGAAAAAACAAAACAAAAAACCCACAATGCATCTTTTTTCTCTGTTCAAGATGACAAAGAAGAAAAAAAAACAAAACAAAACAAAAAAAAACAAACACAGGTCTCATACAGAGACTGATCACTGCGACAGCCAATCACAGGGTATCAACAATGATCAGGTGATCAGAGACCGGTTCTCCCAGTTCCCGATTGTTAGTAGGAGACCCAGAGCGATCTGTGACAGCTTGACCTCTATGCTGGGAGCACACAGTGCACCTCTCTCTCACCACACAGTGGTGCATGCATGCTGCCCCATGGATATGGGCCCATTTTCTGTGAGAAAGCATATATGCGTTTGCTAGTTGTGAAGGGGTTAAATCAAATAATAAGTCTTCTTGTACCCAGTTTCAAACAAGCGGTCACATCAAATAGAGTTTTAACAAATCTAACATGTTTTTTAGTCGATTACAGGATTATGCAGTTTCTCATATTTCTACCTGTCTGGACAGAATCTGTTAGACTTTCAGTAACAGTCAGAGACAAGGTCCCTGTCTTACTTGTCCACATCGCTGATCCCTGATATAGGGTCTCGGTGTCACCTGTCACAGTAGGCATACCCCATTAACCACTTGCCTTCTGGAGTATTTACCCCCCTTCAAGACCAGGCCACATTTTTTGCTATACGGAGCTGTGCTACTTTAACTGACAATTGCGCGGTCATGCAACACTGTATATAAATGAATTTTATATCTTTTTTTCTCCACACAAATAGAGCTTTCTTTTGGTGGTACTTAATTACCACTGGGTTTATTATATTTTGCACTATAAACAAAAAAAAGTCTAATGATTAAAAAAAAAAAAAAAAAAAAAAAAAAAAAAAAAATAATTTTCTTTTTTGCTATAAACATATCCAATAATAATAAAAAATGTAATAAATTATGAACCATGGTATAGATACTGGAATTTTTTTGAAATTCAATAACTGAAATGTAAAACTTACTAGTATTGGCGGCGATAAGCAGCAATGTGATAGTATGGCGGGCATTCTGACACTAACTGATACTGGGAGGGAACTGACTGCCACAGACATATTCAGTGACACAAATACAGTGATCACTGCTAATAAAAAACACTGTCACTGTACTGATGACACTGGGTAGGAAGGGGTTAACATCTGAGGCAAATTGTTAACTGTTTTAGGGAGTGTTATTTGTGTGTGTGTGTACTGTGTGGTGTTTGGCTGCCCGCACACCTGGGGACGCGCGCCTAGAGGCTGCCCGCACACCTGGGGACGCGCGCCTAGAGGCTGCCCGCACACCTGGGGACGCGCGCCTAGAGGCTGCCCGCACACCGGGGGACGCGCGCCTAGAGGTGCCCGCACACCGGGGGACGGTGGTGTATTTGGAGACTGAGGACATTCTATAGGAGAGTGTCAGAAACTATGGACATTATTATTATACAGTATTTATATAGCGCCAAAGGGTTTGCTTCAGCGCTGTACAGTAGCAGGGGGACAGAACATGAGACAGTACAGTAACAATACACGAGGGTTCGAGGGCCCTGCTCTTTTAAGGCAGACAATCTAGGAGAGGACAGGACATGTTAGTGATGTTGGAGAAACATGCCATGCTACAAGAGACTGTCAGACTATGGGCATATTCCAGGTGTGGTTGGAGACTGCTAGAGATCACTGCCATTACTGTAGTCTCTTTATAGGTCAGCCCAGCTAAAAACTGACTGGTGAGAATTCCTTCTACTTCCGGTCCCAGTGACACCCCGGACACCAGAGATTATTAAGTCCCCTGTTAGAGCCGGTCACACACGGGGACACTACAGGTCAGCCCCCTGATCTGGCTCGTCTCCAGGGAGCGGGCTGTACACTCCCGGGGTTGCCCCTGGTAACCAGGCCCAGCCAGCAGTCATGCCAGGGCTAAGCGTGCCGGGAGTGCGCAGTGAGCGCAGCATGTGATTGGCTAGAGCCGTGTGTATCTCGGGAGTGCCCAGCTGTCAGTGCCCCCGGACCCCCAACAACGTGACTCCTCACCCACCTGCGGTTGCAATGTGCTACTAAGCGAAAACATGGCGTCCGCACACCGAGGGTTCCGCCCGGATTACCGAACTCCGCACCCGGCTGAAGCTCCGCTTCCCGGCGTGATGTAACAAAGGTGACCCGGATAACCCGACTCCCAGGAACATCCGGGGCACTTAACCCACGTCCGCCTTATCAAACATGGCGTCAGAGACTTCAAGTGTGGCAGGTGATTGGCTGGGGCCTGAGGGGTCTGGCTGCAGAATAAAGCTCTATTATCGCCAGGAAACATGTGACCTCCACTCTCCTTTTTTTTCTAGTGAACTTTAATGTAACAACAAACAAGAGCCAGCAGTGTGGAGCTCCACTCGGCAGGAAACGTGATCTCCACTCCACCATTATTTTATAGTGAACTTTAATGTAATAAACAAGTAGCCGCTGTAGAGTGGAGCTCCACTTTTTTTTAATTTAATGAACTTTAATGTCACAACCAATAGACACAACGTAAAGCGGAGTTCCACCCAAAAGGGGAAGTTCCACTTTAATGCTTTGTCCCTCGCTCCCCATTAAGGATTGGCACCTTTGGGGAGAAAGTACCCGAATTTGACAGGTACCCGCTCCCACTTCTGCTGCGATCGCCTAGGGCGATCGGAAGCAAAAGTTGTCCTCCCCCTCCCTCCTTTCCCGTAGTCTTCTGGGACACGTGACAGGTGGTACGTACACATCGCTGGGTGTTATATTTTTTGCGCTATAAACAAAAAAAGAGCAAAAAATTTGAAAAAAAAGTTTGTCTTTGTTTCTATTATAAAATTTTGCAAACAGGTAATGTTTTGCCTTCACTGAGGTGCGTTGATGAGGCTGCACTGATAGACAGCACTGATGGGCACTAATGAGGTGGCACGGATAGACAGCACTGATGGGCACTGATGAGGCAGCACTGGTGGGCATTGATGAGGAGGCACTGATATGCAGCAATGATGGTCACAGATAGTCGGCACTGATGGGCACGGATATGCAGCTATAATAGGCTCTGATAGGTGACACTGACGGGCGGTGCTGACTGGCGGCACTGACTGACAGCACTGACTGGCGGCACTGACTGACAGCACTGACTGGCAGCTCTGACTGATGGCACTGATGGGCAGCACTGCTGTGGGTGCACTGATGGGTGGTGTCACGGTCGCCCGATCGCCACCCTCAACATGCGACAATCGCACGACCGCGACCAACAATACTCCTAGATTGTAAGCTCGAAAGAGCAGGGCCCTCAATCCCCTCATGTTTTGCATTGTATTGGTATTGTTCTGTCACATGTTCTGTCCCCCTTTGTAATGTACAGCGCTGAGCAAACTATTGGTGCTTTATAAATACTGTATAATAATAAAAAAAAAATAATCACGCCCGCGGCGTCAGACCCCAGACCTTCTCACCAAACCCCTGACCAAAGGACCGGCCGATCTAAAACCGCGATGTGACGTGCGTAACAATGCCACACTCAGCTGCGCCCTGCACCACGATTGTCCAGCTAATGAAACGCAATCAACGCACCAGCAGCCTGAATGCGCTTGTTACTGGGTCGGGTTAATTACGCAACTAACCCTTCACTGCCACCACCACTTTTTGTACAGAGAAAGGGGAAACTTTCTTTATCAAATATACACTGTAATGGTTGAAAAGTCGCCTGTCCAATACGGTCACTGCAGGCCGATTGGGCAGAGGATTAAACAAACACAGTAGCGTCTCTTCAAAAGGCAGGAATTCGTGAATTGCAAGTAAGTGCTTAGAAACAGTTTAACACTTTCAGAAAGAAAGATTTATTACTAAAAGAGTCAAACAGGTGCAATAAAATATTTACAAAGAAAATGTAACTAGGTATATACAGTATATATATATATGCATAGAAAACAGCTCAGCGCAGAGATAACAGGGAGAAGTTAAATGGTTAAGTTACTTGCCATGTTCAGCCTTAAGGTAAGCAGATCCAAGTTGCAGAGCGAAGGGTCTTTGATCTCCTGCTGCTACGATGTTAAAATTAGGAGATCTTTAGCTTAAACTTTAGGCTTGCCAGCCTGTCTTTTAAAGTCCCTTTGAGGGGCAGGGGGGGGGGGTGGCTCTGAATACTGGCCAATACGCTGTTTTGGAAGGGGTCAGTCGGGCGAACTCTGAATTAGAACCAACATCTGCCATAATCCTTGACATGAAACATAGGGGAAAAACCTGACTTGAGGAATGTTCATTTCATTTCTGTCACCTTTAACTGTTAGGTTTTATGAGCTTACAATCTCTTTCAATTCCTGGGAGAAGCTGCCTTATCTGTTTTATGATATGTGAGCCTACACAGGTTCTGGGGTCAGTGCTTCCCAATTCTCTCTGAGGGAACACTGGCCTTATCATGACTTAAGTGAGGAAGGCTACACTTTCGCAGACTGCTCGGCAGCAAACTAAGGATGCCTTAACCTGCGGTTGACCCATAACCAGCCCACCATCTGTCACTGTGCCTCTCAGGAAGGGAGGGGGAAGGAGAATAAAGGATTGAGGCATACTCCTAATAAAAAAAAAAGGGAACTCCGCGTCCAACTCTGATGAGCAAGTTTGCTACAGGTGGCACTGCTGGGCACTGGTGGGAGGCACTGCTGGGCAGCACTGCAGGACACTGATCATCAGGGTACTGATCATCAGTGCCCTGATGATCAGTGCCGATCTGCTCTGTGACAGCTGCCGGTTATCGGCAGTACTTTCCTCATGCTGTGACAGTGTGAGGAAAGTGCTGCCGATAACCGACAACTGTATTTACTCCGTGATCTGCTGTGTCATTGGACACAGCTGATCACGTGGTAAAAGGCCGATCACGGAGTTCGTCAGGTGTGCGGAAGGGTGCGTTCTGGGAAGAAGTCATATGACGCCCTCCCAGAACTGGATAACCGCGCTGTAGCCATTTTTGCTATAGCGCGGTTACCAACTGGTTAATGAACTTTAACATAACATTATTTTTAAGCAACCACGCAGAGCAGGTAGATTTTGCCATTTCTGTGGTAGTAAAGTCCGTTCTTTGACTTATACCTACAGGTGAGCTTATAATAAATCTTCCCTGTAGGTAAAATGAATATCTCCTAAATGTGCGCTGTTTAGGAGATATTCCAGTGAGCAGCAGCCAGAGACATCACTGGTGCATACCCGCGTTACGCCCTTCGACGTGCGTGCTGAGCCTGGGGCTCCCACACGTGAGTGACATCATCATGGCTTGGCCAGTCACACAGTCGGTGCCCAGGAACCCAGAAGGAAGACCAGGTGAAGATGGAAGCCCTGTCAGCAGTGACAGTGCACCTCTGGAGGGCTTCGTTTTAGGGTAAGAACTTCATAAAGTGCTAGTATGCGATGTCTCATTGAATGCAATGCATACTAGCACATTATGATATTACCTTGAAGGGGGAAATAGTTTGCTTTTCTTAAGAGATTTTACTCCCGCTTTAAGTGTTGTCCTTGAAGTGATTGTAAAGTCTTGCTTTAAAAAAAAAAAAAAAAAACAAACGTTTAATACCTTACTAATAATAAGATCTTATGCGCTGCCAAACAAGCGGCCAAACTACTAAATAAAAAAAGCGCAATGGGCACCAAAATCTGAGGATAACGACTAAATACATATCCACGTTCTTACCATTCACAAAAGAGGAATTCCATCTAAGCAGGTTCCATAGGAGGTGAACACACAAGTGTGTATAGCCTAAATTGCAGGCTAACAAGGAGGTGAGCATACATCTTTACCAATTGAGGATTCAAAGAAAGTCACAGATTCACAAAAAGTCACCAAATCAAGATTTATTCAAGCACAAAGTCACTGTATTTAAAGGACATTTATATCACAATTATTTGGCAGTATATATATAATAATTTTTTTGAGTATTTCACTATTCATGATGTGTATTATTTTTAGTTATATATTTTAGTTCACTATGCACTATTCATTGGTTTTGCGGTTATTATTATCTAATTTATATACACTATAGTGGTTTATATTTTTTTAAATCACTCACATAGTTTGATTTTGCATATTTTTTAATACCTGAAAATCATTTTGCATAGCAAGGTTAATTAGATATATACATCAAAGATATTGTCACTGGGAGCGCAACACATTATATATTTATGACTTTTTGGACACCCAGGTAGTGTTGTGTTGAGTGTTTGCGATCCTATATATATTTTGGACGGTCAGTGTCCATTCCCTTGGTTTTGAGAGGTTAATATTTGGTGGATACAGACTGGCTCGCAAGTTACACAGACATTTGCCAATAAAATTAGGAGATCTCTTTAGCTTAAACTTTAGGCTTGCCAGCCTGTCTTTTAAAGTCCCCCTGCAGGGGGGGGGTGGCTCTGAATACTGGCCAATACGCTGTTTTGGAAGGGGTCAGTCGGGCGAACTCTGAATTAGAACCAACATCTGCCATAATCCTTGACATGAAACATAGGGGAAAAACCTGACTTGAGGAATGTTCATTTCATTCTGTCACCTTTAACTGTTAGGTTTTATGAGCTTACAATCTCTTTCAATTCCTGGGAGAAGCTGCCTTATCTGTTTTATGATATGTGAGCCTACACAGGTTCTGGGGTCAGTGCTTCCCAATTCTCTGAGGAACACTGGCCTTATCATGACTTAAGTGAGGAAGGCTACACTTTCGCAGACTGCTCGGCAGCAAACTAAGGATGCCTTAACCTGCGGTTGACCCCCATAACCAGCCCACCATCTGTCACTGTGCCTCTCAGGAAGGGAGGGGGAAGGAGAATAAAGGATTGAGGCATACTCCTAATAAAAAAAAAAAGGGAACTCCGCGTCCAACTCTGATGAGCAAGTTTGCTACAGGTGGCACTGCTGGGCACTGGTGGGAGGCACTGCTGGGCAGCACTGCAGGACACTGATCATCAGGGTACTGATCATCAGTGCCCTGATGATCAGTGCCGATCTGCTCTGTGACAGCTGCCGGTTATCGGCAGTACTTTCCTCATGCTGTGACAGTGTGAGGAAAGTGCTGCCGATAACCGACAACTGTATTTACT